AATGTGCGAGGAATTTTGCGGAACTATTCTCTTTTGTATTATTGTATCATCACTAAAGGTCATAGTTCTTAAAAAAGCGATGAATCAATTAGTTTTCACCGTGTTTCTACAGAGAGTAACCATTATAATAAAATCTTTTTATTTCAGACATATTTGGTCCATACATTTACAGTTTATTATTATTATTAAATGTATAAATTCTTAATTATTTAATTTGTTACATTATAACACCGCATTCTCAATCTTTAATTTTATTTTTATAAAAAATATCATCACATGTAACAAGTAAAAAGAAGAAATGAAAAGCAACATTATTTTTAGATAATAATAGAATTAACTTAAGTATTTGCCTCCCTTTGGGGCACCGGCCACGTACACTTGAGTTTGAATCCAGTGCTTCATAAGGGGGCTATCCAGTTTTTGGCTGAGCACGCTCAAGATAGAAAGAAAGAAAGAAGGAAAAAACATTTATTCGACAGTACACGCACACAGATACAAAAAAATACAAAATTAAAAAAGAAAAGAACCAACACCATCTTATGTGTATTCATACACATAAGATGGTGTTGGCGCTGTAGGTATAGAGATTTATTTTTGTTAAGTCATCAACAAATTAACTCGTTTCTTATTGTATGTGAAACTTAATTTGATATACAATAGACGGTCTACATAGACACATAGGTACTTGCATAATAATTATCCAAGAAAATGTCAATAAGGTCTAAAAGTCACCTTTTAAAAGCGTCGCAACAAATAACACCAAACATTACACGGGTTCCATTCCAGTTTTATCTAGTATCGTCCACAGAGTGTCCGTATGTCATCATTAGAGACTTAAGTTCACCTCAAGTGGAGTAATTTCTTGGCTCCGCTCCAATAAATCTATATAATGTAATAAATAGATGCAGGCTCGCCGATCTGCACATAAAACCAAGGCTTAAAACTTGCAATAACAATAAGTTAAGACTAAAAGTTGCCTTTATGCTGTACGATTTAATAATGAGGTGGCACGATTGATCGTGTCGGTGTGTTTGGAAAACATATTGTGTGACAAATCATTATGCGGCTCAGAAGTTACATTTATGCGTTTTAATTAGCAGCCTGTAAACCTCTCACACTCCACTTTTCTTTCTCATTCTTTCTTTTTTTGGAGGAGCAATGGGTGCCATGCCAAAAACAGTACGCGATGTATGTGGGACTATTTTTTATAATCAATGTCACCTGTAATTACCATACTTCGTGCAAATAAACATTTTTAATTCTTATTTTTAGCCTGATAGTATTTTGAGAATGGACAAAAGTGAACATAGTAAATATTTTACGATATTCATAACTATCAGTAATACTTTGAAATTCTTGGTCAAAATATCATCTAAACTATAAGTAAAAATGGTTAAATCAATTTCAGTTTTCTAATTTCAGCACTTATCTTTTAATGACAATGTGTTGTTATTAGAAAACAGATTGAAAATAAAACAATTAGCTCCGTAGTTATTGTGTTCTAAAGGAATGGAAGAAAAGGAAAGAAGCTCTACGAGTTTCGAACCACAGAGGGGTTCTTTCTCACGTCACGGCGATGTCGCGTAGCCTACTGACATAATTCGTGAGTATATTCAGTTAATAGTAGTAGTCCCGATTTTTAGTTAATTTAATTTGTCTCACGATTTGTATTTGTTGTGTTTTAATATTTAACATTTTTTAATAAAGTTTCGTTTACTGCCTCGACGGCCGACTAGTCGCGAGTGCGACAGCCGAGCAAGAGGTTTCGGGTTCGATTCCCGGGTCGGGCAAAGTATTACAGGATTTTTTCAAAAAATCTTAGTTAGTAGTACGGAGTCTGGAAATGTGCCCGGTATATGGCAATAGGGTCACCCCCTATTACATGGAACTCATAACATAAAATAGTGAAAAGTGGGTGTTACATTGTACAGTGGCATTAAGTGCCGTAATGTGCACCTCTGCCTACCCCTTCGGGGATAAAAGGCGTGAAGTTATGTATGATAGAACAAGTAAAGTAAAGAAATACGTCTAAATCGTGTCGTACACTAACGTAGTCGTATCGTCTAAGAGTCCTTTCGCCGCCCGCCTTACGACGGTCGGGGCGGGCGCTTTTTGTATTTTCCATTATGGCACCAGCGGTCTTATTATCATAAATATGGCGTTAAATACTCCCCTTTATGTCGGTCGGTGATTTACAAAGTTGCCTCCTGTTGGTCGGGGATTTATCTGGTGATTCTCAACTAGGCTATGTATCTGTTTATATTTGTTTGTGAGAGGAAGATAGGGAGGTTTAGAGTGTTGATGCTTTGTTAAGGTTTAATTGGTTGCAAGTATCTTTCATTGTGCATTAAAAAATAACTTCACTTTTATTAACTATCCTTTCGCCGTTTTTTATAAAAATGACAACTGATGACACTGGCAACACAAGTACCTTCCTAGCTTTTATTATTATTAAAAGTACCTATACTGAACTCTAAAACGCAGCCAGGCAAGAAATTTTACTTACTACATCATATCCGACCTACGAGTACGTACTTCTAAGTTAAATACCTATTCTCTTGTGTACCTAAAATTTATCTCTACCGTCGTCAACGTCCATACCATGTTGAAAACACCGGTTCTCGTCCGATCACCGAAGTTAAGCAACATCGGGCGCAGTCAGTACTTGGATGGGTGACCGCCTGGGAATACTGCGTGACGTTGACTTTTTGCCTTTTTTATTTGCATGTCTGTGTAATTTTTTTGACAATAAATGTACAATAGTTTATTAGACTGAACTTATTGATATTCAAGTAGATGATATAAGTTAAGTAAGATACTACTAGCGCCATCTATACATTATTTTGGGCGGTAAATTTTATATTACTGCCATCTATTGGTGCTATAGGTATGCATAACGCATAGTGTAACTAGGATTACGACCGTTAACCGTACAGGATGAAGTACAATAAGGTATGAATAGATGGCGTGCATTTAAATATTCGACGATACAAGCAAAAATCTGGTCTTATAAAAAACATGATACATGAAAAAAAAATGGTTCATAATTGCCACATAATTTTATTATATCATATGTGTAAAATAATTATGTAATTACTACCGTATAATGACATAATTATTTTATAGATACAATTTAATTATACTTACACTTTTGTGTAACGTAGTTTACCGATTAACGAATAACGTATCAATTTAAAAAACAAAGTATCAACAATGATCACATTATGATCACAGTGATAATTGACACAAAAATACCTAAGTACCAGTACCAATAGGTACTACCTACCTACTTCCATTTCATTCACATTGGAACTAAGCCAGTACATAGTTCAACAGATCTTTTGTAATCTGTTCATGATAAACGATTTATATTGATCAATGGCTACCAATTCACCATTATGATGCAAGGATTAGCCGCTCCTTGAATTCATTCTGATTTCCAACAATGTGGTACAATTACACAAAGTATTTGAGCTACTCTATTGGCTGCACGTTGCAAAATCTAAGGTGTGGATGAGAATGTGAAGTAGCGACATCTAGTGAAGTTTTGTAGTATTAATTATGTTCCGACTGGGGTGGCAATAAGGGTTGTTCGGTTTTTAAAGAGGGTTGTTGCGGTCTAATGCAAAGTCAAGTTTATGTAGGTTTGCTGATTTCAAATAGAGATGTCGTAAGGTTGTACTTTACAGGAATAATATAATTGTTGCGGTACGCTTAGGTATCTATTCATTAGGAATATTTTTTATATAAACTTTTTCGTCATTTGTTTTCTTGTAGATAATCGAATGCAAACACTAAATAGTATAACGTTTAACAAAATTTAAATGATTAACAACTTTATCCGATATAAAAACTAAAACACAACCGTTAAATCTCTACCTACTAATATTATAAAGCTGAAGAGTTTGTTTTTTTGTTTGTTTGTTTGCGCGCTAATCTCCGAAACTACTGATTCGAATTAAATAATTCTTTTTGTGTTAAATAGTCCATTTATCAAGGAAGGCTATAGTTTATAAAACATCTTGCTACGACCAATAGGAGCCGAACAGAGCGGGTGAAACCGCGCGCAAGTAGCTATACTTAAACAATATAGAAACAAACATTTCTATTACATACGAGAACAATCGCCATCTATCGGAAGAAGCAGAAAATTCTGTCCTATCCTAACAACTACACTCTGTCTTTGAGTCTCAACAATAAAGCCCAGACACATGTATACTCAATATGCTCATCCCTCTTTGATAGAGGTAGTCAATGTCGCGTGAATGTTAAAAACGACTAGACGCACGTGTAAAGTACCGTTTGATTGTTGGAAAGTGAGATCAAGATGAAATAGGTATCCTACTATATCAAGAACAAATGGATTAGACTTTTGTTTGAATTGAACATATAACATTATATTCTGCAGCTACGAGTTAAGTTGATATGATACATACGTTGACATTCAGCGGTAATAAAAACTCTGTGATCTGATATTGTTCGACTAGTATGATGCTACAACTGGGGCTCATAAACACTAGACGCATTTAATATTATATTAAGTAAGTTTGTTATTGAATTATCTGTTTCTTACTTACTTCAGTTATTTTACTAAATTATCATCTGTATTTACGGGAGAGCCAAAACAAAATGAAAGAGCACATATTGTTAACTATTCAATAGAATAGACAGACAGACAGTAATTAGTGAGTTACCACATTTCCAATTTCACGTTACGTCCATCAAAAAAAATATCTCCGTACAAAATGTATTTGGACCAGCAAACATTTTCTGTGCACCGTACAGTTAATAGATAGCGGTGCGCGGGCGCGGCTTATACAAAACATACGACGAGTATCATTTGACAATTTGCGAGCAATCAATGCATTGTCACCGCTCTTTATTCAGCTCCAAATAATACATGGAAAATTGTCCATTCCAATTGTGATCGGACCATTGTTGGTCTAATGACACGATTCAGGCTTAGCTCGCTTTGATACCGGCCATCAGTGCATGTTCGGACGTGTCAGAGATGAGTATCACAATGTTCTCAACTTTATTCGCCATTTGAAACAGTTTCTCGTTACTATGATCGGCAGCATTAGTGTTAAACAAACTTAAGTCATCTACAACACATTGTTTAGTGATTTAAAGTGAAATAACTGGATTTACAACCATGCCACTGAAAAAGAATATGCTGGGAGACTTTATTTCATAGAAGACAAAGCGTTAAATGAAACCATAGTGTTGAGAACATCGCCCGAAGACGACCAATGACGTAACATCAATGGCATATCAATTGGAGCAGCAATCAACGAGACACCTACCGAAACTGTCGAGACATTCTAATCCCTACCACATAAAGCGACCAATGAACGCGTTCATGGTGTGGTCGAGGCTGCAGAGGAAGAAAATATCCATGATGAATCCGAAACTGCACAATTCGGAGATATCAAAGAGATTGGGGCTGGAATGGAAAAGTTTGGACGAGACGGAAAAGCGGCCATTTATAGATGAAGCAAAGAGGTTAAGGATAAAACACATGCAGGATTATCCGGACTACAAATACCGACCAAGAAGGAAGAACAGGTTAGATACATCGGCGTTTTCTAACCCAGCGCTTTACACGACGAGGGAGACGTTTGTAGAAGTGGAACCACGTCAAGAAACGAGTTATCAGACGCTGTCGTACCCTGATCAGTTTGTTTATAACAACATGATCAGCTACTCCGTGCCTTCGTTACCTCAGCCCACGTTTGTTCCAACATCAATGAGGCCTAAAGAAGAAACGCTACCAAGCTTGGACCTAAGGCCTCTGCCTTCGATAGAGAGTATATCTCCAAGGCCTTTTGCAGTAGTAAATCAGCAGATGATGGTGAAGGCCTACCAGGACCTTCATTACGTGCCCAGTGACGTCACTAGAATCTCCTATCACTATCCTTTTGGTGTGCAATAGTCGATTTTCGTTGTAAGTTGTTTTGAGGCCATAATTTATGATTAAGACGTAGTTAGTTCAGCTAACAAGTATAACTTTGTTGTTTTTTTATGTGATTGCGTAGTTACAAAGCGATAAGGCCGCCTTTGTACCCTATTTTCTTTATTTGTTCCTTGATGTACTGTCTCAAATTGGTGTACAATAAAGATTATTTATTATTATTATTACTCGATAACTATTACGTTTCTCCCATCTTGGTGGGGTTAGAAGCACGGGCCGAAGCCAAGTGCGTTAAAATGAACTTAAAAGCTAACTATTTAAAAATTTACGAGTAAGGCGTCATGTATTTAAAATAACCGCCTTTTGCAGAAGGAGGTAAGTAGAGGGACTGATATGCAATGTGTTTAGACTATTGTGTAGGGATTTTGGAATGACTCCTGTTGTGGACAATATGATTGGGATAGTTTTGGTCTGAGTAACATTCCACTGTGTTTTTAGTTCTATGGATAAATCTGTGTATTTTGCAATTTTTTCGGAGTGTGTGTTTGCAAGGTTGTGTGTGTTACATATGGCGATGTCTATGATATAAACTAATTTATTTCTTTTGTCTAACATTGTAATATCCGGTCTATTATTGTATATAGTTTTATCTGTAATGATGGTTCTATCCCAATACAATTTGTAGTGTTCATTTTCTAGTACAGCTTGTGGTTTGTATTTATAATATGCTATTTTTTCTGTAATCAATTTTGTTTGGATAGCTAAAGACTGATGAATTATTGAAGCAACTTGGTCGTGGCGATGTTTATAGTCGGTTTGGGCTATGGCTCTACATGCTCCTGTGATGTGCTGAATGGTCTCCGAAGCACCATGGCAACGTCTGCAGGAGTCATTGTAGTTAGGTCTATGGATTATAAATTTTTGGTAGTTAGCTGTGTCGATGACTTGATCCTGTATGGCAATCATAAATCCCTCTGTTTCAGGGAAAAGTTCACCTCGCCGCAGCCACGCGTTCGACGCTTCCATGTCGACATGAGGTTGCTGCAGGTCGAGGCGATGTCTTCCATGGAGGGATTTATGCGCCCAAGCTGCTATTTTATCTGTTTTACTGATTATGTGCTCGTTAGCCTGCGGGTCAGGGGATTGTAAATTGAGTGGAGTGTGGTGTTTGTCTAATTGTGAAATAACTCTGTGGAAATGAGATTGCTCGGCTTTATGCAGGAAGAACTTTCTTAAATTGATGATTTGTTGGTTGTGCAGGTTTGTTATATCTATGAGGCCTCGCCCTCCGTCCTCTCTTGGCAATGTCAATCTCTGTACACAGGACCGCGGATGGTGTTTTCTATTGGTGGTCAAACAAGTGTTAATTAACCGTTGAAGTTTAATGAGATCAGTTTTTGTCCATTTTATAATACCAAAAGAGTAAGTTAGTACGGGAATAGCAAATGAATTTATGGATTTCACGAGGTTACGGGATGTTAGCTGTGATCGTATTAGCATGTTGAGTCTTTGTTTGTATTTACTAATTATTTTATTTTTGGTGAATTTTTGATCGATTTGATGTGATTGCTCAAAGCCTAAGTATTTGTAAGTACAGTTTGGTGACATTGGATCTATTTGCTGACCAGATTCTAATGTGTATGGATTGCTTTCGACGTGTCGTCCCTTTCGAAGTGTAAAAGTTTTACACTTATCTATACCAAATACCATGTTAATGTCGTCCGAGAATTTTTGCGTAAGGTCTGCAAGGGAGTGGAGGCCTGCTATATTGTTACTATATAGTTTGATATCGTCCATAAATAGCAAGTGTGTCAATTTTACAGTCGGAGCAGAACTATCCTGTATTGTGAGACCATTTTCAGAGGAGTTAAGAAGATCGGATAGGGGGTTGAGAGCAAGGCAAAACCAGAGTGGGCTTAAGGCGTCACCTTGGAAAATTCCTCGCTTAATGGGTATGGGTTCCGTTTCTATTAATTTACCTACTTTTAATTTAGTGTTCCAATGTTTCATGGCTGATGTTAAAAAATTTATAATGACGGAATTAATTTTATAGTGTTCTAAAATGTAGAGCAGCCAACTGTGAGGGACAGTGTCGAAAGCCTTCTGGTAATCTACGTACATTGTGCAAATATCATTTTTTAATTTAATATTGTGTTTCATGGCTATGGAATCTATTGTAAGCTGTTCTTTACATCCCTGACTATACTTACGACATCCTTTTTGCTCCTCCGCTAGAATATTGTTATGTGTTATGTGTTTGTACATTACTTCTGAGATGCAACCAGTAGTGAGCTTATAAATAGTTTGCAGGCACGTTATCGGTCTGTATTTAGCCGGGTTCATGTGGTCGGAGTCCTTGGGAATCATATAGGTCAGGCCTTGAGTGACGAATTCGGGTATAGTTTGCGGGTTTGTGATGAAATTATTAATATGTTTATAAATTGATGGGTGTAGGTAAGTTAATTTCTTGTAATAATAGTTGTGGATATGGTCAGTGCCCGGAGCTTTCCAGTTGTGTGCTTTCTGAATGACTTTAACGAAAATTTCTAGTGGTACTGCATCAAATGCCATTTCGGGTACGTTTTCTAATTTTTCTTTGTCGATTTCTGTCCATGTAGCTGCGTGGTTGTGTTGTGAAGTTTTGGACCAAATGTTGGACCAGTAGGTGTGGAACTGCTCAGAGTTAGGACTAGTGTTTTGTGATATATGTGATCTATTTTGTGTATTTGATGTATCTACGGTTAAGTTTCTATAGAATTGTCTCTCGCTATTAATGAATTGAGTGTTTTGATCTTTACGCTTGGTGCAATTTGAGTACCTACGTCGCCGACTTGTAATGGCGGTGAGTTTTTGTTTTAAGCTGTCCATGAATTGTTCGTTTGTTGTGTTGGGCTCTTCATAACTGGAATGTTTCCGATATTTGTGTTTTATTCTTTCAATGTGTGTGATTAGTCCTAAACTTCTATTGCCGTTGATATACTGTGTTAATCTACCTATCTCTTTACGTATTATTTGTATTTTTCTATCTAAGCGTTTCAACCAGTTCGGTCTCTTGTCTATTGTGGAGGGTTGTTGTTGTAGTGTAGTTGTTGATTGGGTATTTTCTTTGATTTTGGAACCATTACATAGAGCTGCGGTATGAGCAGCACAATATATAAGTGTATGGGTCTTTAGGAAGTCGTCTTCGACTGACCCATACTTGGGTAAAACTGTTCTATTTAAATATGAAATAATGTAAGCTAGCTTTTTCGATGTTTTTTGTTTTGGAATGAAGGGTCTTTTTGTAGGGTCTATCGGTGAATATTTGTTGTAAGTTTCTTCAAAAATCTGTATAATTTTAGTATCGAGGGTTTCATCAGTAAACATAGTGTTTTGAAATTCTATGGTATTTGTATTGTTCGCAGTATTATTTAGGTCTATCTCGTTTAATTCGCTACAAGGAGGGAAATTATTGGAATCGATATTTGGAGTGACTTGCATGTTAAGGCTGCTTCTGACTTCTTGTTTTATTTCCTCTAGTCTATTGTCTGTAATTAGTCTATTATTCATGATCACCCTACGTTGGTCGGCAATACGTTGTTCAGAAACGTGTGCGATGTTGGGAAAAAGATGTGTTATTATGGTATGTAGAGGTTTTCGGTAAGCTGTTCTATTTGTTTCTAAATGAGTTATTTTGAAGTATTCACGAATAATTGCTTCGTTAATATCATCAGTCCATCTTAAACGAGTGCCTGAGTTGGAAGATTGTTGTTGTGATTGATCTACCAGAATTTGTGCGGAGACTATAGTGTTTTGTGTTGTATTACTGTTTTGAAGAGCTGCCTGAACTTCGTTTTTGATTAATTCTAATACATTTTCGGGTAATAATTTATTTCTTAAAATGGCTCGTTTCTGATCGCCCAAGCGTTGTTTAGAGACTGTAATTTCAGGGAATTTTTCGGTAAATTTTGCATATAATGGGTCTAAGTAACCACGGATTTTAGTGTCTAAGTGTGTAATATAAAGGTAGGTGCGCCAGATGAACTCGTTCATTTCTGTTGTCCATTTCAATCGCGCGCGAACTTGGCCAGTGGTGGGTGCAGGATTGTTGGCTTCTGCCTCCTGCACAACATCCACGGTTGCAGAGTTGATAGATGTAGGTGAGTGATTAGAGGAAGAGTAAGAGTCAGTATTATAGTTTAGACAGGAGAGGGGAGAAGAAGGAAGTGAGGGAAACAAAGAAGTTGATGATGATGGTCTGCTTGTGACTTGTTCGGGTGACCCGGTAGGAGCCCGCTGACTCAACTCACTACCACCGATGGTTCGTATGCTGAAACGCCCAGCATCGGCTCCAGGCGTGCCCCGGCGATCGCCCCCGGGAAGCGGTCCTATACGTAATTTTCTTTTAGCTCTCGTCTCCATTTCGTCGATGGGTTACTATTGCCACGTTAGCCGCCCAGTAATATTAATTATGCGTTGCCCGCCCCCCACGTGATCTGATGTTCGATCGGGCCGTGTGGTTAGATTTGAGGGGGCTTATTATTATTATTATTACAAAGTGCACTACCGTCTATTGACTAGTTTGTTCTTTAAAGTACAGTGAAAAATGCAACTGCTTATGTTTCTCTAGAAATCTTGCACATGTTAAATTGTTGCACATCCTTTCAACTATTACTGATCCATATTTTGAGATAGTACATAGATTTTGTTCCCGATGTCGCTAAAATAACCAACAGTCTTAATACTGTTGGATGTTTTACATTAATTACATTTACATTGTTTTACATTAACACATTATGATGTCTTTTTTTGATAAACGAACTATTTGCTGTAATATCCTGTTCTTTCTTATGCATGTCGTGGCAGCCTTTAATTAAGACTACAATAAAGAGTGTCAAAATATGTTAAAAAACCTTTTTTTTTTTTTGGTGTATATTTTGTTGGTTGCCCTTATCTTTAAATAAATAAATTGAAATTCAAAGCTTATCATAGCTTTTACATAAAATAAAGAACTAATACTATCGAAGTATTCTTATTTTGTAACAGAAACAGTTTAATACGACCACACTGGATGATTGTCATCAGATTTAAATATAAAAATACCATTGAAAGTACATGTTGAATTCTTTACCAGAGTCTGTATTTCCT